CATTTTCCTAATGGTTTATAACAGACACTCAACACTTTAGTTTCTATCAAGTGCTTATTAGTAGACCTCCTTTATCCACAGTTTTGCTTTCCGCTGGTTCAGTTACCCATGATCATTAAGGTTCCAAAATATTAAAGAAAAAATACCACAAATAACTATCTAATTTGTAAGTTTAACCTGGATGTCGTTCTAAGTAGCATGATGGAATCTTGCACAGTCCTGCCCCATCCTGCCTGGGACATGAATCATCTCTTTGCCAGAGTCCACACTTAAAAGACGACCAGACCACTCACTCATTAGTCACTTAGTGTCCAGCTTAATATCTGACTGTCAGGTATCTCAGTGCTTGTGCTCAAGAAACATTTACTTACTACAGGCCCCAAAGTGCAAGAGCAGTGATGCTGACAATTGGGAGACACCAAAAAGAAGCTGTAAAGTGCTTTCTTGAAGTGAAAAGTGAAAAGTTCTCAGCTTAGTATACTGAGGTTCTTAAGATCTAGGATAACAATGAAAATTCTATCAGTGAAATTGAGAAGGTAAAAGAAATTTGTGCTAATCTGCTGAGACTACATTCACATAATTTATATTGTTACAATTGTCCTACTTTATTATTTGTTACTGTTGTTAATCTATTATTGTGCCTAATTTATAAATTAAATTTTTTCATAGGTATGTATAGGAAAAAAACATAGTATATATAGTGTTCAATATTATCTGTGGTTTCAAGCACTCACTGGGAATCTTGGAAAATATCCTCTGTGGATAAAGGGGGAATACTGTTTATTAATTCATAATTCCAGGAAGTTGTTTTTAAAAGTAGCTGCCGAATCACTTTAGTCATACAAATAATATACATCAAAATTTATTAATTTGGTAAACTGAGGTTTCTATACATTATTATCTTCCCTTAAAAATGACTTCAGCCTTTATGTTTTTAAAATACTTCATAAGCTGGCATGCCCTTAACTTTAATTAACTATGAGACTTTGAAAACTGTTTTATTATATGCACCACCATCACCCCCCCCAAAAAAAAAAAAATCACAATATTGAAGGGGACCAAAGTTTTGTCACCTCAAAATGTACCTTTTGTGATATTGATTTTAAGCTGATTATGAAGAAACAAAGACACTAAAAGAACTTTTGATACTACTCATTTCCTGCCTAAAGGAAGTCAGATAGAAAGTCCTGCTTCAAGAAAAGAATCTTTACAAACATGCTTTAGCATTTTCACCTTAGCATAATACGAATTAAATATGGTAGACATACAAAAACCTGTTCTGCTGGATTCTCCCCTCAGTTCCATTGTTTTTGGGTTGTCTGCTAGGAATTTGTTTGCCATGTGTTACACTCTTTCTTGGCTACCTATGAACTGCCTATTTCCCCTCTAAATCTCAGACCCATGCCCCTTTCTCCTTTGTCCAAAATGGCATATAAACCTCAATTGCTGAATGCCTCTCTGGGTCACATTATGACACCCAGAATACACATTTGTTTAACTAACTTTGAACATTGTGTTCTGTTATTCTGTCTCTGTTAATTTGATTATTGTCCAGCTAGAAGAATTTAGAAGATGTGAAGAAAAATTATTTTTACAGTCCCACAATACTTTCCTTTCTTATTTATGTCAGAACAAATAGTAATATGTACAGTGTAACTCTTCATATTTCTCTGTATAGAGTAGCACTTTATATTAGCATGAACGTAAAATAAATTATATGAATTTAACCTGTAACTAAAGGTATCTATCCTACAGCTGGTATTAGAACTAAAGATTCCACGGTATCTAAAACAATGTAATATTTTAAGTCATTTCAGATTTTTTGGCAATGGGACACACTTTTATTTCAAAAGTCATAAAAGGAGATAATAGAAAGGATCCATTAATTTTGTCTGCCTAGAATGTCTCATTGTTTCCAACCACATGTTCTTGGGGCTGCTACTCATAATACTCTCTCTACTTCCTGGCCAGTGGGGTGGACACATAGGAAGACAAGCCTAGCCCTCTTGAAAATATTTAGGGAAGATTAGCGGACAGTCACTATAACTACATCCAGTTGCAGGAAGATGTTAATCTGGTACACTCCTCACTATGTGGAAGAATCTAGAGATACAGAGCAAAGAAGAAAGCTTTGCAGTGTTCATGTCCCTTGTTCTAGTAATTTCTAAGCCTCTGCTCTTCTTGTTGTATTAATGTATAAGAGAAATTTCTTCTTAAGCTTCATCTTGTTTAAATTAGATGTCTGTGCCTTGTACCTAGAGATGTACCAAAGGCTACCTCTAAAGTAAAAAGATCTACAATTGCTAGAATGGAATGTATGATCACTATGGAGTAGAATGATAATGACATAATGGGCAGGATCAAATCATCCATATGACACTGGAGGTAAAAATATTTTACTGAGAAAATGCCAAGAATAGAAGCTTTCTTGGATATTGACAATAATATCCCAATGTGTATTATTATAAACAAAAGCACACATTCTTTAATTTCCAAATTTTCATTCTCATAATTTACTTACTTTTAGCACATAATCATGCAATTATGGCAATAAATAACCTACAAAAGTCATCTAAGTCCATGTCACCAGCAATTCTTTCATAACAGAAAAAGATAACATATAAGAACAGAATTAATTTTCATATGTAGCACAAGGACTGTTCACAGGATGAGGAACATTTTCTGATTTAAATTACTAATCTGAATGCAGACTCAGGCCAACAATAATTGAAAATGTGAGAGAAGAATTTCGACACTGCAATAACACAGGGCATAAAATAACAATTAAATTCAGGAATTGTGGCTCAGTTCTAAAAGACCATACTATCAGACCATAATAGTAAACCTATTTACAATAAATTTTATCCTTACTTAGATATGTATGTAAACATTTCTTAGAGATAGCATGAGGTCCAGAACACTTTCTTAAACTAAATTCTATACACATGTGGAGCAATAAAGAGGAAAGTACTCACAAATAATTAATCTTGAAAGCATATGCATAAAAAATGACATTACTTCCTTACTTGCAATTAATCAACACTTAATGATACTTTATTGCATAACACAGCATTTTTTCCCAGCTTGATTCTGCTGTCTTTATCTTTTTATTCAGAATGACTAGGCAAAAGATGGTCTAATCATAAGTTAACTTTGTATTGATTACTTGGTATTTATTGCATGATAATTTAACACATTCTAGAGTCAATCATAATATTCATCAACTAAGAATGTACTTAGGCCCTTCTTACTATATATAGCATTCTTACATTACCCTCTTTCACAATTAATATTAAGCATCAAAGGAGTGTCAGTCTTACAGTAAGAAAATGCCAGAAGAAATGAAGATTTACTAGAGACTGAGCTTGACAGTATGGTAAATGATTCCATAATTCAAACCAACAGAACTGATAAAAGCATAAGAATAGAGGCTATGACAATAGATAACAATATAATAAAAAGACTGAGAAAAACAGGATTATATTCCAATGTGTCAATCACACTTTGGTATTTTATATCACCACTAAGACTGAGATTTTTTTGTATGCTTGGGGGGAAATCCAAGTAAAAACACACAAGTTTATAGAGGGGGGAAGATATAGATTTAAGAGTGGAATCAGCCGAGGCCGGTTTGGCTCAGTGGTGGAGCGTCGGTCTGTGGACTGAAAGGTCCTGGGTTCGATTCCGGTCAGGGGCATGTACATTGGTTGTGAGCATATCCCCGGTAGGGGATGTGCAAGAGGCAGCTGGTTGATGTTTCTCTCTCATCAACGTTTCTAGCTCTCTATCTCTCTCCCTTCCTCTCTGTAAAAAATCAATAAAATATATTTTTTTTAAAAAGAAAGAAAAAAAAGAGTGGAATCAGAGAACTGGAGACCAGTTAGACAAAAATCATTAATTCAGCTACGATTTATTGAGTGCTTGATATGTGTCAAACCCTGTATGAGACACACAGGATGCAACAAGGAACATATCAGCAAAAAATCCTGGCCTCATGATGCTTACATTCTAATGGCTATAAGAATAGCCATTTAAAATAAGTCATTAAAAAAAAAAAAAAAAAGGGTAGGACTAGGGTGCAGTGCCTTCCCACTTCCCAAGGACACAACTACTTAGTATAAATTCAGGTTGCAATTTACACCTCTAGGCCTATTCCAGAAACTTTTCCATACATGATAGTGTCAATGAGAGGAAAAAGAAATTTTAATGAAGAATTTAAATAATAGAAAAACCAATCTTAATGTCTACTTACTGGATTACAGAACTGTCAACCAAAATGGAAAGAATTTAATCCAAACAGAAACTGCATCAAATTTTAGAAAATACTTATGCTAAAGGCACTCTGTATGAGACTTTAAAGATGCACTTAATGGAGCTAATAGATACTTTATCTTCTCTAATATCTGAAATTCCCAGAATACTTTTATTCAAAGGACTATTTAATATGAACTAGTGATTACAGTTCATATTCTAGCACAAAAATGTCTCAATATAATGCCACTATCTCAATTTGTACCAGTATTTTTTGCTTGACTTGAAAGAAAGGCTAGCAACTACATTAGCTAACAGGCTTAATTACATGATTATCCCCAGTAGGTAAAGGAAACGGCTAAGGTATTAGGAGTTTGCACATAAAAGGCAGTATTAAGGTAACATGCTTCTAATATTCTGCTTGTCACAAGGAATCTAACACTAGCTTTTTCAAATGGCTAAACATCTATTTCACGTTTCTAGGCTATTAAGCAGATTAAAATAATAAGCAGAGTAATTTTATGTTCAATTAAAACTTAATGTCAGACTTCAAAGTTAAAAACAGAAATTGTAAAAGAGAAAACTGATAGATTTGAAATTTCTCCAAAGAAATTACCACAAGATTATAAAAAAAATTCTTTCAATCTACAAATGTCTGCTATCTTTTTAAAAATAATAATCACAATGATTTGTAACTTTATTGAAAGCAACTGACTAGACAAAAATTAAGAGAAGGACTAGATACTTACACTACTGGGAGGGAATTGAGCATACTTTACATGAGGTGAAGTGATATCCTTTCTAGAGATGATCAGCGCTATTTACCATTCTGTAAATAAAGACAGAAAATCCAGAATTAGTTGTTAATCAAGTATTGAATTAAAATTTTAATTATATAACTCAAGGATATGAACAATTAACATCAGTTAATCATGTCTTTAAAATTATTTTGAAATAAGACATTGGTTTAAAGTAAAAATTTAAAAATAGAAAAATACTAGTGATCGTTTTCAAAATTATTCACTTGGAAAAAGTATTGAGCCTGGCACCCATAGCTCAGTGGTTAAGCATCGACATATGCCCAGTTGTGGGCTTGATCCCATGTGGGGTATGCTAGAGGCAGCCAATAAATTCTTCTCTCTCATTATTGGTGTTTCTATCTCTCACTCTCCCTTCCTCTTTGAAATCAATAAAAATATGTGGTTGTTTTTTTTAGAAAATGTAATGAAAATCAAACCCTAGTGTTTTCTTCTGTTAGCAGACACCATCTGATATATAATAGTGACATTCAAGATAACTCTTTGATAATAACATCAGAACATTTACATAGAGTCCTTTAAACAAAATCATTCCACAGCATGATTGTAGCTAAAGGTCTTAACTGTGTGGCAGATTCTATATATAAGTAAAATATATTACTTATTTTACTGCTAGCCAAATGTTGAGTGACTTTATTTCTCTAAGTCTCAATTTCCTCATCAATCAAACAGGGATAATAGACAACTAATTCAACAAACTACAAAAAGTTAAAACATTTTAGCATCAACACAAATAGTGGTGATAAGTACTTCACAAACTATCGAGTAGCAGGGTCTATTACCACCAATTTTAAAAACGATGAGAGGAAAAAGAGATTGCATTTAGGTTACAGAATACAATATACATTAATAATGGAAGGACTGAGTCTAGTACTTTATTTTCTGATTAGCATTCTACTACTTTATTCTCCATTTCAGACACTTTGACCCCTTTCAATTCAGACATAGATCTTAACAAAAAATGAAATCTACTATTCATGGTTTAGGGGCTAAAGATCATGTATTACTGCCTGAACGTATTAGCAGTTTCAAACCACAATCTATAGAGGCAAATATTTCCATTAACTCAAAGTTAAGATTATAAATTAGACGAAAGTTAAAAATGTTGATGTCAAAAACTCGCACATTAAAATACACATTCAGCACTGAACTATATTAAGTGAGATCAAAATGTCTAACAGTGACTAATGATGTATGCAAAATGTTCAGAGTGAAGTTAGAAACCTTTCACATTTGGCTATCTTAAATTGTAGCTTTAATGAAGTTCCTGCTGTACTTCATTTAAGAAATACCTGTCCTAAAAAAGTAGATACAAAATACAAAAAAAATCTATTGAAAATGTTACTGATTGCATTTCCTATACCAGTGGTTTGCCGCTCTGTTGACTAATGAGTTTGCCGAACACTGCGTAAGGCTTTACCCTTACCCAGAAGTTTGACTTGAGGTTAAAGACATTAGTACATTATTAAAATGTTTTTAAGTGTTTTTCCCTAGCAGTGGTTGGCAAACTTATTAGTCAACAGAGCGGCAAAACACGGCTCACAAGCCGCAGTTTGCTGACCACTGTCCTAGACAAAACAGCAACACCAAGCCACAAAACTGGTTACTGGTCAATACACAGTTTTCACTCTTGCTCAAATTCAGTTAAAATATACTTAAGTAGCTAGGTAGGCTGGCATTGGTATAAGGTCATCAGTAAGATATGATCCCAGCAGTATAAGGGCTTATTAACCTATGGGGGAGGGTAAAATAAAAAACACACATACCTATAATATCCTATATAATAAAACCCTAATATTCAAATCGACGGAACGGCACACACTGACCACCAGAGTGCAGATGCCCAATGCAGGAGCTGCCCCCTGGTGGTCAGTGTGCTCCCACAGGGGGAGCACTACTCAGCTAGAAGCTGGGCTGACAGCTGGAAAAGGCAGCAGCATTGGCAGGAGCCTCTCCTGCCTCCACGGCAGGTGGACATCCCCCGAGGGGTTCCAGGCCAGGCTGAGGAACATGCTCCCCCAGTGCACGAGTGTTGTGTACCAGGCCTCTAAGTGTGTGTGTGTGTGTGTGTGTGTGTGTGTGTGTGTGTGTGTGTGTGTATGCCTAATTGACCATTAAGACTGAACAACTGGTTGCTGTGACACACACTTACCACCAGGGGGAAGACACTCAATGCAGGAGCTGCCCCTTGGTGTTCAGTGGGCTTCCACATCGCAGCTGTGGTGGTGGCAGGAGCAGTGGGGTTAGGGTGAGGAGCAGCACCTGGCCCCAGCTTGGGCTCCTCCCTGGCTGCCTTCCACTTAGTGCATTGATACATCCCTCATACCCCATAAACCTGCAGTTACAATCTCTGGAGAACAGTTGAAGTGCCCACACTCAGAGTAACCAGAATTAGCCTAATATAGCTGCTGGGCTCCTGGAATTCTGCCTTGGACATCAAGATCAAATCTCATCTTTTACCGATTGTCCCTGAGCTATAGAGGAAGGCAGTTGCCACAAGGTAGCAACTGACAATCCAGGTAAAAGTCAGAGAGATGGATCTGAAGGATGGGGGTGTGGGCAACAGAGCACCCTCGGCCACCAAGATCCCCAACTTTGTATTGTTCACCTCAGAGCATCTATTATCTGGCTTCAAGCAGTAGAAAGCATCCAGCAAGGCCCAAGGCGTCCACTAGCTGGCAAGGCACAACCTTGGCTGCAGAAGGGACATTTGGAAATACTTCTTCAGGAAGTTACGGGGAGGAGAACAGACTCCCCACGTGACTTCCTGGTGGCTCATGGGAACGTGGAAACTCCCCAGGCACGCTGGCGCGGCTCCCAGCCCGCATGCCCCTGATTTCCCTTCAATGTGCACAAATCTGTGCATCAGGCCACTAGTAACAGGCATAATGTGAATACACTAAAAATACAAAGTTTATGAGAATAACAAGTTAGAAATTAATTTATGTTATAGAGAACTGGGAAAACTCAGAATGAGATCTCAGCTGTTATCTATAGAATAAGATTTGCACCAAAGCAAGGTGAAGGGAGGTGAGAATCATTGGAGGAAAATTCCAGAGCAAAAGAACAGTTAAAGAAGATTATGAGATGTTTATAAAACAGAGCAGAACTAAATACCATAAATTAAAGATAATTAAAAATCTACTACAGAAACAGACATCAAGACCAGCTGGGTTCCCAGCAGATTCTTAATCTTTCAAGAACATAATTCAAATAGTACTGAATCACAGAAAAAGACAGAAAGATGTTCCAATTCATTCTATGAAGTCAGAATGACTCAATACCAAATCTAATAAAGGTAGTATACAAAACATACCATAAAACAATTTCACTTAAAAGTTAAATGTAGAAATTCTAAGTAAAAAAATCAAATTAGACAATGAAGTCCAGTCACATATCCAAAAAAATTATATTGATGTAATTTATTGCTGAAATGGAAGAGTGGTTTAACATAAGCCAATATACCAACATATTAAGGAGGAAAAAAATCCTATGATTAATATCAGGTGCTAAAAAGGCATCTGGTAAAATTCAGCAACTATTTTAAAAAAATATATTTTATTGATTTTTTACAGAGAGGAAGAGAAAGGGATAGAGAGTTAGAAACATCAATCAGCTGCCTCTTGCACACCCTCCACTGGGGATGTGCCCGCAACCAAGGTACATGCCCTTGACCGGAATCGAACCTGGGACCCTTTAGTCTGCAGGCCGACGCTCTATCCACTGAGCCAAACCGGTTTCGGCTCAGCAACTATTTTCAATAAAAACTCTATAGAAAGCAATAGAAAAAAATTAAACATTTTTTTTGGAAAAAAGAACAATAGCAAGTACCCTGTAAAGCAAAATACACTAAAACTATTTCAAATAAAATTAAGATTACACACACACACACACACACAATCTATCTATATCTATCTATCTATGTAGAGAGAGAGAGAAATGTGCATGTAGATTATTTCGATATGGAAATTTTGTGATCTATGGAAGAAATCCAACAAGAGTGGTTAGGCTGAAAACAGGGTACAAAATGGACATATAGGGGCGGGATAGGAAGGAGACTGTTCACAGGAAACTTTCAAAATTATTTTAACCATATAAATGTTATTAAAAATTTAACAAATCAAATGAATAAAGTTAGGAATTAGAGCAGGAAGGCCACTAAGCCCTTTATAATTCAACACTGACTTAAAGACTATAGTACATACAAGCACTGGAATGAAAGAGAAAAAATTACCTTTAGCTAATGATCTGATGGGATACATAGAAAATGCAAACAATTCTAGTAAAAGAAAACTAAAATCAAAACAATAAACTGAGGTGTGATGTAATACACTTAAAATTTATAAAAATTTCCCCTAGTTTAGCAGGAAACACTTAGAAGAATAATTCATTCACAGTATTAACTTTTCCCCATATGTATGTATGTATTTCTCAATAAAACTATATTGAGAAATAACCCCAACAGATTTTAAAATTTCAATATAAGATCTTAAAGCTATAAAGAAGAAAGTCCAAGAACCACCAAAAAACTGAAAAGGAAAAAAGCAAAAGTGGACTTCATTGACCAGATACTGAAATATATTAAAATCAACATGACACATGCATAGGAATAGACACATAGATAAGTGGAACAGAATAAATAACTTAAATATATAGTGTGGGTCAAAAGTAGGTTTATAGTTGTTCATATGTAAAATACAATCATTAATAAATAATAATACAAGAATAAACTGTTATGTGTACTCACAACTGTAAACCTATTTTTGCTCCACCCTGTATATTCCAGCACATATGAGAAAATGTACAAGTCAAAAGTTAAATTTTATTTCAGCAGAAAAAAATAATTTTTCTTAAATGATCATCACAAAACTAATTATGTTGCAAAAAATTAGATTCTTAAAATATATATATTTTATTGATTTTGTACAGAGAGGAAGGGAGAGTTAGAAACATC